TGGAGTGGCATGTGCACAATGGAAGGGAATGGAGATGAGGAGAAAAACTCATATGATACAGCAGAACCCAGAAGCTGATGTTAGTCCAAATGTAAAAACCCTGAAATGCAGTACATGACTGTTGTGCAAAAAAAAAAATAACCCTGATAGTGGTGGGACACCACCACAATATCAATGTGCAGATAGGAGCTGATTATAATGAACTTGGACATCCACAATCTAGTAAAAAAAAACGTCAACTATGATTGAGGATGGAGTAACTTGTGAAAATTGGAGAATCTAGGCATTGATACAGACAAGAAAGATCGATGACTGGACTATTCAACCTCCTGTCTTTTGAAGCCCAATAACCAACTGGAATTATACCTCAAAAGAACTGGCATGATTCTCTCACTATCCCAGACCAACCAAACTCTGACAGCCCTAGAACTAAGTTCCAAATCCTGAGGATCTGCAGGTGGAGGAGTGGATAACAGTGGTGAAGGTATGAACTGAATGACTAATCCTGACTCAAGAATCGGTAGTGCTTCTGGATCCATAGTTAAGATTACCATATGTCCATAAGTTCTCAGCACCGAGCCCCCACAGACCCTGAAGGCATACAATAATCATCGACGTCTCTGGTGGCAATCATACTGAGCAGCGGAACCCTTGGATATAGACAGAATATATTCTAAGTACCAGTGTACCTAGGGCTGATATCGGGGGTTGGGACCCACAAATAGGGGTAGAACTATGACCCTCTATAGGGGTCGATGAAAACTAAGATGACAAGGCAACAGGGATAAATGTAGAAGTCTACAATTGAACCAATGTGCATGCTAATAATGGTTCCAGCTCTTCTCAATGAAGTGAAAGAAAAAAAAAATTGAATTTTGGAGTTGTAAGTCCATAGACTTACTGTGTCCCATTAGGGGACATAGATTCACTCAGTCTAACTACAAACTCCCACTTAGAACCAAGAAATTCGAGGAGCATAAGTGTTATTTGAGAGTTGGAAAATGACTCCACCTCGCAGTGGTAGGCTAAAATCATGAAGTTCCGACAATGTGTCGGATAAGGCATAACTTTCCCTTGACGTAACTGAGAAGTAAACTTCCCTACATGAACCACAATATATGTGGATGGAGAGAAAACTCAAAATTCACTCCCAGACTTTTCAGTCATCAAGTAAGGAGCAGGCTCAAAAGCAACTGGGGAAAGACCCAAAACATCACACTCTTGATATACCATGTGAAGAAAACATGTTTCAACAGTATACTGGTCTGTCTTCTTCATACCTGAAAAGTAAATCATTTCATTATGCTTATGAATTGTTTTTTGTGAACTCATTATTATATTAGCATATTGTGCTTCTTTAATCAACTATTTATAGTTTAGTTAGAAAGCTAGATAAATGATAGTAGTTTTGGGCATATTCTATTCTGGTGTTCAATATATTTTCTTTGTATTCTTAAATGAATATCTGAAAGCTACATGAATTTTTGTTGACAACCAAACCAGTGTAATGATAAAAAAAAGGCTTACTAAACCATACACCCAACCACAAGACAACTAAAGAGAAAAAGTGCTATCTTTCTTGGTTTTCTTATACATTTTTATATATTTCTTAACAAATTAAATAAAATGTAAAAATTAGAAACTTCTTATGTCAGATAACAAAACTTAATGATAAGTGTGATTAATATACACAAAAACATAGTGGTTGCAAACAGTTTACATATATCACACACATCTCCTATAGTAATAAATGTGAGTAATGTGTTGCAATAAATAGTGGCTACAAACAGTTTATGTATATCACACGCATCTCCTACAGTAATAGGTGCAGGTTATATCCTGCAATACATACTGGCTATAGACACTTATGTATATCACATACATCTCTTACAGTAATAAGTACGAGTAATATCCTGCAATACATATGTGGCTACAGACAGTTTATTTATATCACACACATCTCCTATAGTGATAGATGTGATTAGCTGTTTTGCAGAATGGCTGTGTAAAATACATGATCCTGTCTGAGGTAGGATACGTGTGCAACAATACATAATGTAACTCTGTGCTTTCTTAACATATCCTCTCAAAACCAAGTAAGATTTTGCTAAAGCTTTTAAGTATCTTGTACACAAAGAATGACATTATTTTAATTAAGTCTAACAAAAATATATTATTTATCTATTGTATTAGGCCATCAAGAAATTAATGTGGCATTTTTGAACACTTTCATTAACTATCCCCCCAAAAAAGGCACATCACGTATAATAGTTAAACAAACTGCCTAAATGTCACGTTAGTGTAGCCTATATAATGTGTAAAGTTTAGTACACTCTAATCCCTTATAGTGATGGCACACAACAAGACACACATTCGGCATGTAATGCTGTTTGAATACAAGAAGGGAAACAACGCCTCTGTAGCCATAAAAAATATCAAAGCAATTTGTGGAAATGTTTTGAACATTCATAAGTGTCAACGATGGTTCAGTATATTTCGTTCAGGTAACTTTAGCCTTAAAAACTGTGATGGCAGGGGCCGACATGTTGGAATTGATACTGAAGTTCTGACGATGCTTGTTGAAGCTAACCTAAGGCAACACAATCGTGAAATGGCCCTGAAATTGCATGCTTCATAAAACAATACATAAACATCTAAGGAATATGGGAAAATT